CTAACACTGACCCTAACCATTACACCTACAGTCACACTAACACTGACCCTAACCATTACACCTACAGTAACTCTTAACACTGACCTTAACCAATACACCTACAGTCACACTAACACTGACCCTAACCATTACACCTACAGTCACACTAACACTGTTGCTATGATACCTAACACGGGCCCTAACCGACCTAACACACCAACACCCTTAGACCCAACACCACCCCAAGCATTGAACCTGACACCGTGTGAGATGCGTGTCCCTGTGTGTGTCTGTAGGGGGGGGGGGGGAGCGGTGGTGTAGCGGTTAGCACGCTGCACTACGAACCTGGTGTGTAAACATCGCCAATAGGGAGACAAAGGCGGCCGGGCGTGGTGCTGGCCACCCACCCCCTCGTGTTGCCGTGCCGGCCTTCGTAGGTGCTCGCTAACAGCACTTGCCCTAACCGTCTGTTAAGGCTATACGGGGGATCTTTGTCTTTTTATCTTTGTCTGTGGGGGGGGGGGGGGTGAGCGCACTGCACGGACGAACCTGGTGACCTGGGATCGATTCCGGGCCCATGAAGCCACGGATCCCAGACCTCAACTGCAGTCAACTCACCCCTCCCCCGCCCCCCGCTAATCAGCACTGGGGAGACAAAGGTGGCCGGGCTTGGGGCCGGAAAAAAACTACTAGCCCCTAGTGCGCCGTCTTCACATTAATAGGAATTCGCAAACAGCACTAGCGTCGATAGCCTTGTGTGGGCTACACGGGGTATCTTTGTTTCATGCGTGCGTGTATGCACGACGCGGCGCTCGCAAGCCGAGTTCAATTCCTGCCCATGGACGCGAATCGTCGTTCCCAATTGGCATCGTCAACCTGCTCTACACTTCCCCTAGGTCGACTCAGCCTTAAACATCATCGCCACCGGGGAGACGAAGGCGGCCGAGCTTGGTACTGGTCACCCATCACCTCGTGCGCCGTGCCGGCCTTCATAGGTGCTACGCGCTAACAGCACTTGCCCCCACAGTCCGTTCAGGCTATACGGGGGATCTTTGTCTTTGGACCTCGCTAAGAGCGCTTGCCCCCACAGTCTGCCCGGGCTATACGGGGGATCTTTATCTTTGGACCTCGCTAAGAGCACTTGCCCGCACAGTCTGCCCAGGCTATACGGGGGATCTTTGTCTTTGGACCTCGATAAGAGCACTTGCCACCCACAGTCTGCCCAGGCTATACGGGGGATCTTTGTCTTTGGACCTCGCTAAGATCACTTGCCACCCACAGTCTGCCCAGGCTATACGGGGGATCTTTATCTTTGGACCTCGCTAAGATCACTTGCCCCACAGTCTGCCAAGGCTATACGGGGGATCTTTGTCTTTGGACCTCGCTAAGATCACTTGCCACCCACAGTCTGCCCAGGCTATACGGGGGATCTTTATCTTTGGACCTCGCTAAGAGCACTTGCCCGCATAGTCTGCCCAGGCTATACGGGGGATCTTTGTCTTTGGACCTCGCTAAGATCACTTGCCACCCACAGTCTGCCCAGGCTATACGGGGGATCTTTATCTTTGGACCTCGCTAAGAGAACTTGCCCCCACTGTCTGCCAAGGCTATACGGGGGATCTTTGTCCTTTGTGTCGGGACCGCGAGAGCGTGCGCGCGAGTGTCGCCACCATGCGAAATAAGCAGCTGCAGCATCCGCTGCTGTCCGAAGTTGTCTCCTGCGTTTGTTTGCCGGGTGGAGGGAGCCCATCGGGGTAGAGAGAGAGAGAAAGGAACGTGACATCATGATGGGAGGGTTGGTGGTGGGGGTGGTGGTTGACGCGCTGCGCTACGAACCCGGTGACCCGAGTTCGATTCGCGCTCACCATCAATAACAGGGGGCGAATGTTTGAGCGGGTGCTGGACCTCCCCTAGGTCGACTCGGCCTCAAAATCAGTACCCGGTGCGCGGTGTGGCGTAAGCGTCGTCACTCGGGAGACAAAGGCGGCCGGGCGTGGTGCTGGCCAGCCTCACCTCTTCGTCTGTCGAACCTTCATAGGTGCTGCTTCTCGCTAACAGCACTTGCTCCAACAGTCCGTTGAGGCTACACGGGGGATCTTTGCCTTTGGGCCTTGCTAACAGCACTTGCCCAATAGTCTGTTGAGGCTACACGGGGGATCTTTGCCTTTGGGCCTTGCTAACAGCACTTGCCCAATAGTCTGTTGAGGCTACACGGGGGATCTTTGTCTTTGGGCCTTGCTAACAGCACTTGCCCAATAGTCTGTTGAGGCTATACGGGGGATCTTTGTCTTTGGGCCTTGCTAACAGCACTTGCCCCAACAGTCTGTTGAGGCTACACGGGGGATCTTTGTCTTTGGGGGGCGGGGAAGGATAATAAATAAATGAATCTCTCGATATCTCGAGTTGCAAGTTGGTTTGACAAAGTTGGAGTGAGGGGGGGAGGGGTGGAGGGAGGGGGGGTTGAGGGAGGGGGGGTGGAGGGAGGGGGGGTGGAGGGAGGGGGGGTGGAGGGAGGGGGGGTGGAGGGAGGGGGGGTGGAGGGAGGGGTGGAGGGAGGGGTGGAGGGAGGGGTGGAGGGAGGGGTGGAGGGAGGGGTGGAGGGAGGGGGGGGTTCAGTGGTCAGAGCGCGCGCGGCGTTGTCGCTGCAGCTGCGTTGAGTCGCACGCGGGGCCGGCTGCGCGTGGGGGTGCCGGCCCCCCGCCCCGCCCCCGCCGTGAGAAGCTGGCATGGCCCCCCACGCCCTGCACCTCTAATGGAGCCACGCCGGCGGTGGTGGTGGTGGTGGTGGAGGGGGGGGAGCGGTGATGGTGGGGAGGGGGGCGAGGTGAGCAAATCACAAAGAGATGAAAATTACGAATTGAAAAGCCACTCCCCACAATAACGCCGCGAAGGTAGGAGACGCGTGCGATGAACAGCCCCTGCTCGGGAGATGACCTCGTCTGGACGCTAAGATACCGTGACGGTTTGCTGCGTACGGTGCGAAAGAAGTTCGGCACACAGGGACTCCTCTACTCACGAACATTCGACGTTCCAACTTTCAGAGATAGGAACAAACCTGCCCGGATGTCATGTCGACGCCACACGAAGAACCAGTGGCATCCTCATCTACAGAACACGAAGAACCAGTGGCATCTACAGCTGCAGAACGTGAAGAACCAGTGGCATCTACAGCTGCAGAACGTGAAGAACCAGTGGCATCCTCATCTACAGAACGTGAAGAACCAGTGGCATCTACATCTGCAGAACGTGAAGAACCAGTGGCATCTACATCTGCAGAACGTGAAGAACCAGTGGCATCCTCATCTGCAGAACGTGAAGAACCAGTGGCATCTACAGCTGCAGAACGTGAAGAACCAGTGGCATCTACATCTACAGAACGTGAAGAACCAGTGGCATCTACATCTACAGAACGTGAAGAACCAGTGGCATCTACATCTACAGAACGTGAAGAACCAGTGACATCTACATCTACAGAACGTGAAGAACCAGTGGCATCTACATCTACAGAACGTGAAGAACCAGTGGCATCTACATCTACAGAACGTGAAGAACCAGTGGCATCTACATCTACAGAACGTGAAGAACCAGTGACATCTACATCTACAGAACGTGAAGAACCAGTGGCATCTACATCTGCAGAACGTGAAGAACCAGTGGCATCTACATCTGCAGAACGTGAAGAACCAGTGGCATCCTCATCTGCAGAACGTGAAGAACCAGTGGCATCTACATCTGCAGAACGTGAAGAACCAGTGGCATCTACATCTGCAGAACGTGAAGAACCAGTGGCATCTACATCTGCAGAACGTGAAGAACCAGTGGCATCTACATCTGCAGAACGTGAAGAACCAGTGGCATCTACATCTGCAGAACGTGAAGAACCAGTGGCATCCACATCTGCAGAACGTGAAGAACCAGTGGCATCCTCATCTGCAGAACGTGAAGAACCAGTGGCGTCTACATCTGCAGAACACGAAGAACCTGTGGCATCTACATCTGCAGAACGTGAAGAACCAGTGGCATCCTCATCTGCAGAACACGAAGAACCAGTGGCATCTACATCTGCAGAACGTGAAGAACCAGTGGCATCTGCATCTGCAGAACGTGAAGAACCAGGGGCATCTACATCTGTAGAGCGTGAAGAACCAGTGGCATCTACATCTGCAGAACGTGAAGAACCAGTGGCATCTACATCTGCAGAACGTGAAGAACCAGTGGCATCTACATCTGCAGAACGTGAAGAACCAGGGGCATCTACATCTGTAGAGCGTGAAGAACCAGTGGCATCTACATCTGCAGAACGTGAAGAACCAGTGGCATCTACATCTGCAGAACACGAAGAACCAGTGGCATCTACATCTGCAGAACACGAAGAACCAGTGGCATCTACATCTGCAGAACACGAAGAACCAGTGGCGTTTACATCTGCAGAGCACGAAGAACCAGTGGCATCTACATCTGCAGAACGTGAAGAACCAGTGGCATCTACATCTGCAGAGCACGAAGAACCAGTGGCATCTACATCTGCAGAACACGAACAACCAGTGGCGTGTACATCTGCAGAGCACGAAGAACCAGTGGCATCTACATCTGCAGAACACAAAGAACCAGTGGCATCTACATCTGCAGAACGTGAAGAACCAGTGGCATCTACATCTGCAGAACACGAAGAACCAGTGGCATCTACATCTGCAGAACGTGAAGAACCAGTGGCATCTACATCTGCAGAACGAGAAGAACCAGTGGCGTCCACGTCGACAGATTATACAACTTTTTAAAGCCATTCCCCGCGTTTAGTGTACACGCCGTACAACGTGATTGGAATCGACTTGGACTTACGAACAAATCGACTTGCGAACGTGCGAAAGGAGAATTTTCGACTCTGGCGTTTGTGCAACGGCCAACTCAAAACGGTGCCTGAAGCTGATGCTGACCAGTGACCTTGTCTCCCTGCCCCCCTCCCCTCCCCTCCCTCAATGTCACCTCCATCCCTTGCACCTCCCCCCCCTAACCCCACGCAGGCAGAGCTGCGTCTGCTGGGAGCGCCGATGCCCGCGGGGGTCCCGGGACCGTGCAGGGACCCCGAGCGCGAATCGTGGCTGCGGTCGCTGTTCGTGGAGCGCGTGCGCTCCTACACGGGCACCCCCTACGCGCAGAGGCACCACCGGCCCGGCAGTGGGTACCCGCTCAGGCCAACCCGCACCCACGCGCGCGTGCGTGCGTGTGTGCGTGTGTGTGTGAGCGGTGCACATAGCCTGGCACAAGCGTCGTGGTGACGTCACCGCCACTTAGTGGCGAATGGCGGTTGTTGTTGTTGTTGTGAGCGGTGGTGTAGCGGTTAGCGCGCTGCGCTATGAACCCGGCGACACGGGTTCGATTCCCGCTCACGGCCGACACCCAGTGACGATTATCTGAACCGGTCCTGGGCCTCCACTAGGTCGACTCAGCCTCAAATGAGTACCTGGTGCGGTGTGTAAACATCGGCACTAGGGATACAAAGGCGGTCGGGCGTGGTGCTGGCCACCCACCCCCTCGTGTACCGTTCTGGCCTTCATAGGTGCTCACTAACAGCACTTGCCCCTACAGTCTGTTAAGGCTATATGGGGGGTCTTTGTCTTTGTGTCACATCAGGGCACCGTGGCTATGAGACGTTAACTACCTCGCCTGGTATACAGGAGGTCGTGGGTTCGATCTAAACCCTGACGCCTGCTGTATATTTGGAGTTTGCGTGTCTCTCTCTCATCATCATCATCACAGTGGCTAGGAGATGTTAACAACCTCGCCTGGTCTACAGGAGGTTCATGGGTTCGATCCCGACCCTGACGCCTGCTGCGGTCCTTCGGTTTTCCCCTCAATATTTAGAGTATTTGCCTACTATAAATGTCCACGTGATAAGCCACTTTGTTGAGCTATCATTTGTGGCCAGGTCGCTTCTGAAAAATAGCCATATAGCTCAGTGGCCCTTATCTGGTAAAAAAAAATATAAAAAGTGTATATCATCCTTATGGAAGTACCCCGGGGTACCAAATAATACAAACTGGCCGAGGCAATTCAATATTTTATTTCTAGGACACTTTTTTTCCCAGGGGTGTTCTTCACTCCGCGACTGGGGTACGAATCAATCCGACATCAGTGCCACACTTTGCGATGTCGAAACGCAGCGAGGACGCACCGTAGCGGTGCCTCGTGAGTACAGCTCGTCGAGATGAGTCGATTGCCGCATCGCCGACCATCAGCAGACTAAAAGTGACTGCATCACGGACATTATGCTAGAGCCCGGGGTACTATGGTACCCTGGGGTACCGCCACAAGGTTCATATATCCATTGTAGTTTACATGAATACGTTACTCTTTGGTTATTTCGGTAAAGTCACGTAGGTATTCAATTAAATTAAATAAATAACGACGTTTCCAGCGCATCCTTTCCCACCTGATGACGGACGCTTTGTGTTGAGCCCGTAACGTCGTGATTTATTTCATTTTCTACCTACGTTACCTTACCGAAAGAACCAAAGAGTATGGATTCCTGCAGTCACGAAAAGCTTCAAATCAAGAATGAATGAATTAAACTCCCTCCTCTGGTCTTCGCACCTGATTGGTTCACAAGTGACGACATCACATTCACCCTCTCGATTTAAGACCGAAACCGCAGGAGGATTTTCCCACAGTTCTGGCTGTCGCCTGTTGATGCTGATTGTTGTGATTACCGGCGAAACGTGACGGGACTCGAATTGTAAAATGTCGTGGTGGGTTTACTCTCCAGCACACAACCGGTTAGCGCTGTACGAGTAGCGAAGTAGCACGTTTTGTTTACGTTGCAAACCTTACTAATCGGCTGTGCCGGATGGCGGAAGGTTAACGACACATTTATATTGTATGCGATCTAACCCAAATTGAGCCTCTAATGGAAACACATTCCTGCGGAGGGAGCTGGTAGGAACGTTGGGTTGCTCGGTCAATGGCCAGGGTCAATGGCGCCACCACGTGGTGTATTCCGCAAATATGCCCGACTGTGGGGGTGGGCACAAGCCGGCGTGAGTAGGTTAAACGTTGAGTTTTATAAGGGCACCACGGGGTGATCAGCCCCTCCCCTCCCAGCCCCACCCCTCCCACCCCCCCACCCAGCCCCACCCTCCCCACCCAGCCCCTCCCCACCCAGCCCCTCCCTTCCCACCCAGCCCCTCCCCACCCAGCCCCTCCCTCCCCACCCAGCCCCTCCCCACCCTCCCCTCTCCACCCAGCCCCACCCCTCCCATTTTTGGATGCACGACGGACGGACGGACACAATAATCCCCTGTGGGCTAGTGTCACCAGGAGGTTCCTACCAGTAAAAGTGTATAATACATTTAAGTTTATAGCGCCACACCCTGCTGAATGTTGTGAGCTGCGTGGCTTTGAAGGGTCTCGAGTCTGGACCATTAATCCAAACGTACACTCACTGATTCTGCACGTATCGGTGTGTATATACAATTATACACACTGTGTATATAAAATGGCAATGTAATTTCATCCACGCACGCGGCCGTGCTAAACGAAACAGCGCGGCGCCCGCGAAACAGCTCTCCCAAGATTCTCGCGCACAATTTGGCTCGAAAGCATCCGACGTAAGCCGCTGCCCCCGGAGTGTTCGGAACCTGCCCTCTCTAAGTTCCGCGTTTCTCGGCATCTCCATTTCTGCCGCATATCTCTATCCTCGCTTAACCTGGCCCGACCGCCGCCGAAAAGCCCTCCCCGCGTTACGATACGCTCGAGAAGTCGCCGCTCGCTGGCCCCGCGCCCTCCGTACCCACTGCAGGCCCCGAGTTCGAGTCCCCACTCTTCCTCGACCGCTGCGGGCTGGTGCGGCGGGCGCTGATGGACCTTCGCGCCGAGCTGGGCTTCTCGGTGGGGCCGTGGAGCCAGGCCTACCTGTACGACACGCTGCCCCTCGACGTGAGCGGCCCCGCCGACATGCAGCCCGGTGACCTCGTCTTCACCACCGCCACCTACTTCGACCCCACGGGTACGGGGCGGCGGGACGAGCGGACCCGGGACCCGGGGGGACGGTCTGCTGAGGCTACATGGGAGGAATGTTCGTCTTGGTGTGCGCAGGTGTGCGCGCGCGTGTTGCGATTCGCTGGATCAGCGTGTGTGCAGGTGTGCGGATGTTTGCCTGGCGGGGAGCGGCGGTGTGGCGGTCAGCGCCGCGCTGCACGAACGAACCCGGAGCCGCCCGGGTTCGATTCCCGCTCACGGCCAACACCGGTGACGATTATCCGAACCGGTCTTGGGCCTCCCCTACATCGACTCAGCCTCGAATGAGTACCTGGGTGCGGTGTGTAAACATCGCCATTGCGGAGACAAAGGCGGCCGGGCATGGTTGCTGGCCATCCACCACCCCCCCCCCCCCGCCCCCGTGTGCCGTGCCGGCCTTCATAGGGGCGTACTCGCTAGCAGCACTTGCCCCCAACAGTCTGTCGAGGCTACACGGGAGACCTTTGCCTTTGTGCGTGCGCAGCCAAGCGGCACCCGCACGGCGTGGTGCACGTGGAGGTGTGGGCGGGCCACGGCGAGCGGACGGTGGCCGCCCGCTGGCGTCGCGGCCGCGTGCAGGAGTTCCCCTCCTACCGCTTCGACTCGGCGGCGTACGGCGACGCGCGCTATCACTTCCGCTCCATCAGCACGTGGCTGCAGGGAGTGTGCGTCAGGTGCGCGTCACGGGGTGGGGGGGGGGTAGAGGACGACAACCCCCCACCCCCCTCGCAGTCATCCCCACCGATTCGTTCATTCACATCGCACCGATTGTTTGTGTTGGTGGGCGGGGGGCTGATGTCATAGTTGTCAACCACTTATCAGTGCTGCCGACCTTATTACACACACACACACACCCTGTGCCCTTATACATCTCAACGTGTATCCTACAAAATCTCATCACGACGGAGAAAGACAAACAAATGGACAATCGTCACTACGACACTCACCACTAGTACACTCATCACTAGTACACTCACTACTACACTCACCACTACACTCACCACTAGTACACTCATCACGAGTACACTCACTACTACACTCACCACTACATTCACCACTTGTACACTCACCACTACACTCACCACTAGTACACTCATCACGAGTACACTCACTACTACACTCACCACTACATTCACCACTTGTACACTCACCACTACTACACTCACCACTACATACCTGTCAACCCCATATTAATGCCCTACCATTATTACAGACCAATTCAGACCTAATTGGTCACCCCGTGCCCTTATAAATCTCAACGTGCATCCTACAAAGTCCCATCACAAGGGAGAAACACAAATAGACAATGTTATTGTTGTTGTTGCCCGTAGTGAAACCGCTGTACGCCGTATGGACCTGAACAACTCAATTTCAATGTAACAAGAATACAGGGTAAACCGAGATTGGTTGACAGCGATGTTATGATGCCAGGCGCTGTGCGACAGGGCTGCAATGGATCGAATCGCCACAGCGTCGGGGGTGGGGGGGGGGTGTAGTGGGGGTTCATCAGCACTCGGCTGGATTTTGTCCGACGTTTCGCTCCCAGAGCAGAAATTTTGGGAAATCAGTTTCCTGAAGCGGCTCGATGGGCGACGTCGCCACTGCCGTTATCGCCGATCGAGCCTCGGTCGATCAGAACGCACGCGTTCGTCCGTGACGTTTCGGACGACGGCCCTTCTTCAGAGCCGCACAGGAGAGCCGACTGTGCTCATAGTCGGAGACTTGGACCGGACACACGGTGGGACCCGGAGAGAACTGCGGGGACGTTTTAACAGTTGTTGAAATCCATAATAGATGTTTTAACAGTCGTTGAAATCCATAATAGAGGTTTTAACAGTCGTTGAAATCCATAATAGAGGTTTTAACAGTCGTTGAAATTCATAATAGAGGTTTTTTTGGGTTAGATCCCATAAATATATAAAAGTGTCGATAAGCCTGCCACCACCCGACAAAACCAATTAGTAAGGTTTGTCACGTGAACAGAACGTGCCAATTCGTCACTAGTGCAGTGGGTTCCACTGAGGCGCACACTCAAACTTGGAGGCAACACGTTTATGCCGGACCCAACAGGGTAACTACAGAACCATTCAACAGGATAACGACATAGGGTGGTGACCACCACGGGTAACTACATAACCCCTCACGGAATACTATATAGCCGGCCAGTTCAACTAACACGCTGCCTGGCCCCCGATGTCTTGCGCGAATCCCGAAGATCGAAGATGTGGCCGGCGGATTCCATTCCTCAGGGGCTCAGGACTCGGCCTTTATGGGCCGCGGTGTGGCCGGGCTCCGCCCTTGGCCACGCCCCCTTCCTGATCCTTCCTGAAGACTCTGGCCCCTACATCACGTGTCCCTCTCACCCCCCTTTTGGGCCCCCCTTGCCACCTCGTCCGGTCATGTGCCCTCTCGGATTGACCCAGAGTGTCCTGTCCTCACCCGACCTCTCTCTCTCACTGTCACCAGGACTATGCCCCCTAGGGAGCCCTTCCGTGCTGTACTCACTCCGGTGCTAGAGAGAGACTCAACACGTACAGTACCACTCTTCTGTCGGTACTAGCGCTACACTACAGTGACTCCATACACGTCACTACACTAGTACAGCACACCGGTGTGTTGGAGAGCAAAGCCACAACATTTACCATCTGAGTACGATGTTTTGCCAGTAATTACAACTAGCTTCATCAGGCGACAGCCAGATTTGTGGAGAAATCCTCCTGTTTCGTTCCTTAAATAGATAGATGTGATGACGTCATTTGTGTGCCCTTCTTGCATGAAGTGGGGGGGGCGATTAATGAATGCATATAAATGACAAACCAGTGTCGTCGTTGTTGTTTATTTGTGTCGTTGGTTTTGCAGCCACTGCAGCGAGCACGCGTGGGGTCGCTGTCGCCGAGACTTTCCCGGCCCCAAGTCAATCTTCTGCCCAGACGACGGCGCGGAGCGCGAGGACGTGGGCCACGTGGCCCAGAGAGGGCCACAACAAAAACAACAACAACAACAACAACATCGCGGGGTCGAGAATTCACCACCACCACCACTACCACCACCACCACCACCGTCGCATGACCAATGGCTCGTCACGACGAAACCAGCGGATTCTCCGCCGCACGGCAACAGCAACAACAACAACAACAACGACGACGGCGACGACGACGACGACGAGGAGGAGGAGGAGTCCTCCTCCGGCCTCCAGGATTTTTCCTCCGCTCTGCTGCCGCTCCAGGAAGTCTCCGCGGAGAAGCAGCAGACGTTGGTGGGGTCCTCGCGGGAGAGACGGCGGCGGCATCAGCGGGCATCAACCTGCGAGCCGTCCGCGGCGCCGGTGCCCGCTCGGCGTGCCGGCGCCGGTGAAGGCGGCGGCGGCGGCGGCGACGTCGACGGCGGCAGAGAATCGGCGACGCGGAGCCGGCGAGACGCGCGGGGGGTCCGCGCGAGCCGGCGAACGTGGGAGACGGTGGCGGCCATGGCGGCGGTGGGCGGAGGGGCGCGGGCGGCAGAGGAGGAGGGCGAGACGCCGGGGTGGCCGCAGGGGGCCGCGGAGGCCGCAGGGGGCGGCCGCACGGGGCTCCCAGGTGACGAGTTCGGATTGGCCACCGTCACGCTGGCCCTGGCGTTGACGCTCGAGGCGCTCGTCGTTTTGTTCTTCGTCGTTCTGTGACCGCGGGCCGCGCGGCCCGAGGGACGATCGTGGTCGCGACGCGCAGGAGCGGCGATTTCTAGACGGGCCCTCGCGCGGTGCGCGTCGACCATCGGCTCCGTCGGCGGTCTGAGCGACGCCACGTGACGGCGCAAGGCGGGATGGGTCACACACACCGCGCCTCTTGCTGCACAGTCACCACCTTTTTTTCCCCGTCCCCCCGCACCTCCGATTAGCAGGGTTGGCTACGTACGGTGCGAAAGAAGTTCAGCATACATATACGTACGCGGGCCAAAACGTGGACATGTTTCCCAGCCAGAACGTCGTCTATTATCAGCACTCTGCAATGAAACTGCAATCAAGTTCATTGCAGTACCGGCACCAAATTAATCCCTGCCCCCACAAAAATACAGACGCCTATTCCTGGGCTGTCCACATGGTTGGCTACGTACGGTGGGAAAGAAGTTCAACATACATACAAACCCACGCCATACCCAGGTAAAAACCCAGAGAGGTGGCAACCTACCAATGAGTCAGTTTCTGCATAGTTGTATTGTTGTTATATTACTCGTGTTCGTATCTAGCCTACATGCACTTTCTGTCTGATGAGCTTCCAATCAATTTTACAGAAAAAAATATATTCAGAATCGATAGTTTCTTGGTGATTGGAGCTGCGTGATGTGGCTCGGCTGGATAAAGGGTGCGAGAGAGAAACAAATAATAATATTACAAATATTACATAGAAAACATAGGGGGAACATAGACATGGAGTAGGGAGATAGGGGGTAGAGAGAGAGGGGGGGGGGGGGGGTGGGGTAGAGAGAGGGGGTAGAGAGAGATGGGAGGGGTAAGGAGAGCAGAGCGTGAAATTTTTTGTGAAATCTTTCATCTAAAAAAAGGGGGGGGGGGTGGTTACATAAAGCAAAGCATTGAAAAAAACGAAATGATGACCGAAGCAAAGTGCCGACTACGCCGAGCATCTTCTTGTTTCCTCTGATCGTAAAAGAGAGAGAGATGCATTGTTCTTGTTGGTGAGATCCTGACGTCACAGACAACAATGGTGCGCCACGTGGAACTCGCATCGATGAATCTAAGTGCCCTTTTTGGCGAGTAGCCGGGTTCGGTTGATGTGGCACAGCAGCACGGCTACCGGTTGGCTATACTGCGAGTTCGTAGCCTGGCCAGCATCCACCACACAGCGCCATCTTCACCGTCAACATCGTAATGATCATAATCATAACCATCACCATCATAGCCATCGCGACCATCGTAACCATCAGCATCATAATCATCATCGCGACCATGGTAATCATCACCATCAATCGTCATCCGTCCAGCGTCAACCCGTGAGGCCGTTGTGTGCACGTGTGCGGCGAGGTTACAACCTGGAGGCCAGGTGTGCGAGCTGTCTGCGTGACATTGAAGCGACCCATTGTAGATCCAAAAGTTGAAAAGAGTCAAACGCTAAAATAATCATAATAACAATGTCATCCGCTCGACGACGAACGGACTCTCGCTATTACACGCGCTACGTGCTGACGTCCGTAGTGCGTTTGTAAAACTTCAATAAACGTAAAGAAACCAACGCTGGCTCCTGTTTTTAATTCGCAGTGTTTTTTCACATTTGGATCTACAATGATATCTTTTCATGTGTCGATTAAATAGTTAAATTATAAAACAAAAAACGTATTTTTGTATTTGTTTAAGACTTTTTTCCTCGTACGCAACTTAACAACAGTTGTACTTTTTATCAGTCACTATGTTGACACTGGCAAAAGGTCCCATACAGAGAGGAAAAAAAGTATTTGATCCCCTGCTGATTTTGTATGTTTGCCCACTGACAAAGAAATGATCAGTCTGTAATTTTAATGGTAGGTTTATTTGAACAGTGAGAGACAGAATAACAACACCAAAAATCCAGAAAAACGCATGTCGAAAATGTTATAAATTGATTTGCATTTTAATGAGGGAAATAAGTATTTGACCCCTCTGCAAAACATGACTTAGTACTTGGTGGCAAAACCCTTGTTGGCAATCACAGAGGTCAGATGTTTCTTGTAGTTGGCCACCAGGTTTGCACACATCTCAGGAGGGATTTTGTCCCACTCCTCTTTGCAGATCTTCTCCAAGTCATTAAGGTTTCGAGGCTGACGTTTGGCAACTCGAACCTTCAGCTCCCTCCACAGATTTTCTATAGGATTAAGGTCTGGAGACTGGCTAGGCCACTCCAGGACCTTAATGTGCTTCTTCTTGAGCCACTCCTTTGTTGCCTTGGCCGTTTGTTTTGGGTCATTGTCATGCTGGAATACCCATCCACGACCCATTTTCAATGCCCTGGCTGAGGGAAGGAGGTTCTCATCCAAGATGTTACGTTACATGGCCCCGTCCATCGTCCCTTTGATGCAGTAAAGTTGTCCTGTCCCCTTAGCAGAAAAACACCCCCAAAGCATAATGTTTCCACCTCCATGTTTTACGGTGGGGATGGTGTTCTTGGGGTCATAGGCAGCATTCCTCCTCCTCCAAACACGGCGAGTTGAGTTGATTCAAAGAGCTCAATTTTGGTCTCATCTGACCACAACACTTTCACCCAGTTGTCCTCTGAATCATTCAGATGTTCATTTATACGGGCATGTATATGTGCTTTCTTGAGCAGGGGGACCTTGCGGGCGCTGCAGGATTTCAGTCCTTCACGGCGTAGTGTGTTACCAATTGTTTTCTTGGTGACTATGGTCCCAGTTGCCTTGAGATCATTGACAAGATCCTCCCGTGTAGTTCTGGGCGGATTCCTCACCGTTCTCATGATCATTGCAACTCCACGAGGTGAGATCTTGCATGGAGCTCCAGGCCGAGGGAGATTGACAGTTCTTTTGTGTTTCTTCCATTTGCGAATAATCGCACCAACTGTTGTCACCTTCTCACCAAGCTGCTTGGCAATGGTCTTGTAGCCCATTCCAGCCTTGTGTAGGTCTACAATCTTGTCCCTGACATCCTTGGAGAGCTCTTTGGTCTTGGCCATGGTGGAGAGTTTGTAATCTGATTCATTGATTGCTTCTGTGGAAGGTGTCTTTTATACAGGTAACGAGCTGAGATTAGGAGCACTCCCGTTAAGAGTGTGCTCCTAATCTCAGCTCGTTACCTGTCTAAAAGACACCTGGGAGCCAGAAATCTTTCTGATTGAGAGGGGGTCAAATACTTATTTCCCTCATTAAAATGCAAATCAATTTATAACATTTTTGACATGCGTTTTTCTGGATTTTGTTGTTGTTATTCTGTCTCTCACTGTTCAAATAAACCTACCATTAAAATTATAGACTGATCATTTCTTTGTCAGTGGGCAAACGTACAAAATCAGCAGGGGACCAAATACTTTTTTTCCCTCACTGTAGATATAACTGCTTAACCCGAAGCATGCATCCTATGGCGATGGCATTGTCCTTGCACTGGTCGCCGTTTGTCGGCCTTTGCTCTATAGCGCCGGTGAGACAGAGCCAATCGGTTTCACGGACAATGCGTACATGATGAAAGCATAATTGTTTTTTTTTTTACCATAATTATGTGTGGTTCATGCAGACTTTGATCCCTTGTAATAGGGATCAATTTGGATGTTTGAACATCTTAACACCTCCTGTATTCATGCCAGAAAGGGTAAAGCCTCACCATCAGCCATGGTCAAATCGCTGCTGGATGAAGGCCTCCCCTAAGACACCGCCTCCTATCACGATCCTGCGATGTTTTAATCCATCTGAGCACCTGGACACGAACTGATTTCATCGCTCCGTCTCTTCGGTGGACGAGATCTGTCGGAAGCATCCCGTTTCTCAGCTGCCCGCTCCATTTCATATTATTGACCATCGGTCATCATCCCTCCCAGCGACGGGTCCCCCCCAAGCCCCTCGTGCCTCCCGACCTCTCCAGGTTACTAAAGCTACACCAGAGACAGGGATCGCCTCTAGCCAACGTGGTGTTCGTAATGGTATTCGTTTCCCACGTTGTTTCACGTTGTAGATCATTTTGGCTGCTATAAAATTCCACACGAAGAGCACTGGAGCTATCATTTGTGATGGCCAGGTCGCTTCTGAAAAAGAGCTATATATCTCAGTGGGCCTTATCTGGTAAAATAAAAAAATATATTTTTCTAGTGTAATGGTGTTTTGTGTTAGTAATGTTTTTTTTAGTTTCACGTGGCACTTTACATTCCACGCGTGCAGTTAACACTTCTCCTGCACGGTATCCATGCCGCAGTCTGTGCCATCCGTGAAAAGATTTTGCGGCCCAGGAGTTCAGAACCGCTGGATTAGCGTGTGCACGTGTGTGGATGTGTTTGTAGGTAGTGTAGCGGTTAGCGCTGCGCCACGTTACGAGCCCGTCCACCCGAGTTCGATTCCTGTTCACGGCCAACACCAGTGACGATTATCTGAACTGGTCCTGCCGCCTTTCCTGGGTCGACTCAGCCTCAAATGAATACCTGGTGAGGGGTGTAGACATAGCCTCTAGGGAGACAAAGGCAGCCAGGCGTGGTGCTGGCCACCCATCCCCTCGTGTGCCAATGCCGGCCTTAATAGGTGCTCGCTAACAGCACTTGCCCCGAGAGTCTGCAAATGTATTTATGTTGAACTTATTTCGCATCGTACATAGCCAACCATGCTAATCGGAGGTTAATAAGCGACGGGCCTTTGTCTTTGTTGTATGTCTGGTAAGTGTTCATAATAGTTCGTGACAGGTGAGCAGCTCAGGCCATGGTGCACGAGGGCAATTCGATGGCAATCGTCGCCGGCAATCTTCATTGTTGCCCCCTAGTGGGCAACGGGGGAGGTAACCTTCAATCAGATCAGAGACGGAGCGCACGTGACTGTGCTGCCTGACGACGTCACTCTTTCTGCACCTGACAAAAACTGACTGCTTCAAAATCCATTAATGAGTGGGATCTGGACAAACGCAACAGAAGACATTCTGATTGCTTTTCTGATAAGTAATATATTGTATTGTGTTGAGTGAGTGACTGGCTAACTGACTGGTAATCGCCTGCATAAGGGAATGGCTGTTACCTAAATAGTCACTTGTACTAGACCTACCCCACCACCAATCACCTAGCAACTCGTACTCGGCTTACCCCATCCCTCATCACCTAGCAACTAGTACTAGGCCTACCCATCCCTAATCACCTAGAAACTAGTACTAGGCCTACTCATCCCTAATCACCATATCAACTACTAGGCCTATCCTATACCGAATTATCTGGTTCGTATACAACCTGTAGACCAATCATTGTTCAGCATACATACACACTTTTGATCCATGTTTACTTTGGTTTCCCAGAGAGAATTCTGTCTCTCCATTCCGTTAACCCACCGAAGTTACCATCGGCGCTCGCGGTCGATGCATTGCCGGTGATGATTGCCGGCATCGATTGCACCTGGAGTCGTACGAGCAGACCGTGGCCTTATAGGCTGCTTCCTGTGTAAGCTGTCTGGCGGCGTGCGCACGTGAGCATGTGAAGTGACAGAGCGCGCAAAAGAAACAAGTGTTTTGTTGTCGGGTTAAAAATGTTCCCCCCGAGGAGACGATTAGTGCGACGCTGACACTTGGTTTGTGCCCGTTAAGGAGTGCCAAACGACATCTTCAGAAGCGGTCGCTTTTACGCTCCTCAACTGGCATGACCACAACAGAGCCAGCACGGGGACCATCACGGTCCGGGCGATTTTCCACTTGCTAGTTGTCGTACTGAGCCAGAACCAAACCGTGATACTCTCGCCTAACAAGACTATTTACTCTGGCTCGGGGGCCAAGCAGGGCCAGCAGCGGGCCTAATGACGTGTTCGCTTTGTGTGACATCAATCAGTACGCCGTGAGGACACGGCTTCGCCGCGTCCCGACTCGTTCGATTGCGAGTGACGTCGGCGGCGCGGCTTCTGCAGTGGAAAAAACAAACCGGCACCCCTTGAGCCGCGCCAGGCTGCCTCGGAAGGCTGCCGCGGCGGGGCTGCCTGCCCTGGCGCAGCTCGGTTTTGCAGTGGAAAAAAAAAAGAGATCTTCGACGCCTGCGCAGTTGCGCATCCGTATTGTAAGGCCGCCCGTGTGTGTGTCTGTGCGTGGCACGGGATCAGGTGGCGCCGTGGTCTACGCTCGTCGGGTGGCGGAGGTCGGCGCCCACGGGGACGACCCGTGTGGGGAGGGGTCCACGGGGGGGCCGGAACACCCTGGGGCACGGCGGGGCCCGCGGAGAGCAGAGAAGAGGCTTCGGCGAGCAGCGGGGGAGGGAATTGTTCTTGCAGGAGGAGGAGGAGGAGGCCGTGGGGGAGAGGGGACTCTTGGAGGAGAGGGCACTCCTGGAGAACGGGGGACTGATCAAGGAGAGGGGGAGAAACAGGGAGACAACGAAGGGGCTCAAGGAGGGAAGGGGACCCGCCAGGGTGGCGAAGGAGGAGGTCAGGGCGGGAAGGGAGGGAGTCAGGGAGGAGGAAAGGGGGGCCGTCAAGGAGGCGAGGGGGGCCGCCCTGGTCGCCTGGGAGACACGCGGAGCTCCGGACCCTTCTTCTACATCGGAGGGAACAACGGAGCGGCCCTGTGAGCACCTGGCACTTCCGTTACCATGGATACTGGCCCTGACCTGAGCACTCGTATTAGACATGCTGCTAACTCTAAGTCTAACCCCGATGCTCTGGCCCTAACACTCTTAACCCTCATCATTAGACCTCCTTTGCCAGTACCAAAATGTAATAACAGGGTTTTCCCCCTTTTTTTTCTGGCAACAAAACTGAAACCTTTTTACAAGGATTCATGTCTGCATTAACCACAATACCTGCAGTCAAAATTCAAACAAACAACACACTATGATAATATATGCATTGTCCTTGAAACTGATTGGTCCACACCAAGGGACGGCTTTCTTTTGAGCCTCGACCCAATTGGTGCTCGACCACATGACGCCAAAAGGGGCGTACTGCAGGTATTGTGGTTAATGCAAAAAATGTGTGTTTTAATATTTATGTGCTTTTAATTTAGGGACCCTTTATAACATATGCTACAGGCCCCGCACTAGCTTAATCCGGCACTGGTTGCACTACAAATCCGGGGACCTGATTTGAATATCCGCTCACGGCCAATAGCAGTGGGAAATATTTGAACCTGGCCCTTAAATGAATACCTCGTGCGGTGTGTAAACATAAGTACTGGGTTGGCAGAGGCGACCAGGCGTGGTGCTGGCCACCCGTCCCCTCATGCGCCACTCGCCTTCGTGGGTACCGCTCGCTAACAGCACTTGCCGCAATAGGCTGGTAAAGGCTACACGGAGGAGTCTTTGTCTTTGTGTGCGTGGGGCAGGGTGAGCGAGTACTGCTTGAGGCGAGGCTGGGAGAGGACGTTGGACCGCACGAGGGAGGACTACCGCCTCAAGTGGTGCGAGCTCAAGTCCCGCTCCGCATACACGGCCTTCCGCGAGGGTGCGATGCCACGCTCACTCCACGCCACGTCACACCACGCCGCACCGCGTCACACCACTCTGCGTCACAGCACTCCGTACCACGTCACACCACTCCATACCGCGTCACACCACTCTGCGTCACGCCACTACGTATCGCGTCACACCACCCCATTCCATGCCACAACACTCCGCACAACTCCGGACCAGTATACGGTAAGTCCTCGTTTAACGTGATAGGCGCGTTCCTGAAAAGTGGCGCGTGAAGCGAAAAACGACTTCCCCATAATGTAACGATAAAGTGTGGCGAAACACGACGTACGCACAACCACGAGATGGCGAAACAAATAACTGAGGTTACACCGCCGCATTACTGCATCATTCCGCGTACTGTATTGAATCGCTCAGCCACGCAGCTCAAGAAAGTAGTTCGTCATCGACCGCTCAGAAACCGCGTTATAACGGGGTGTGCGTTTCGCGTTATAACGGCGCGCGTTCCACGTTGTGTGAAAAAGTGTTCCCTCATGGAAGAACCGCGTTGTAGCGAAAACGAGTTAACGTGCGAACACCGCGCGTTAAGCGAGGACTCTCCATACAGTAGAACGACGGACTGTGCTGCACTGCACTCTGCAAGGTGCGTGCATGACGTGAAGCCGCGTGGCATCGCGCTGTATCGTCGCACTGTATCATCGCGCTGTATCGTCGCACTGTATCACCGTGCTGTATCCTTGCACTGTATCATTGTGCTGTATCGTCGCATTGTATCATCGCGCTGTATCGTCGCACTGTATCATCGCGCTGTATTGTCGCACTGTATCATCGCGCTGTATCGTCGCACTGTATCACCGCGCTGTATCGTCGCACTGTATCATCGCGCTGTATCGTTGCGCCCACAGGGCAGCAGCTGCTCTACCAAATCCAGAACAACAAGGTGCTCACCAGCAAGATCGGCCTCCTGTGCAGCCTGCGGGACTACGAGCGCATCATCAGCAAGCTGCAAGTCACCTCCCAGCCCAGGTGAGCCCACTCGCGTGGGTCTTTGTGAGGTCCATGTGAGTCCACACGAGACCCACGTGAGTCCATGTGAAGTCCATGTGAGGTCTATGCAAGTCCTTGGGAGGCCGATGTGAGTCCATGTGAGGTCCATGTGAAGTCCGTGTGAGGTCTATGCAAGTCCTTGGGAGGCCGATGTGAGTCCACGTGAGGTCCATGTGAGGTCCGTGTGAGGTCCACAGGAGACCCACGTGAGTCCATGTGAAGTCCATGTGAGGTCCATATGAGGCAATGTGAGATCTATGTGATTGGGTTGCTTTATTAATTGATTGATTGGTCTTGATTGATTAGTGATTGGTTGATTGACTGTTTGCTTGGTTTATTAGTTTGTTGATGACTTGGTCGATTGCTCGGTGATTGTTTGATGAATTGGTTACTCAATTAGTTGACTGGTCGGTTGCTAATTGGTCTGGCGACTGGTCTGGCGATTGCAGGATGCTGAAGATGGACGACTTCTTCCCGCACACGCTGCGCCTCGACGTGCGTGGGGAGCGGGACGAGTTTTTCGACTCCTACCAGGGTGAGCGCTGCGCTGCGTCGCGTTTGGAAGCCCGAGCTGATCATCAGGAATCTTATGATCTATAAAGCTCTTTTTCACAAATGTCCAGATGTCCAAATCGTGTCTGACAGAGGAGCGCAGGTCACGGCGCATGCGGACCTCAAACGCTTAGCAGGAGAGGCATTTGCTGAAAGAGTGCTTTGTGAATTTAGCGGAGTGATTTGAATCGTGCAGCACAGAGCTCAGTTGGAACCCAGGGCAGCGGGGCCCGGTAAAGTCGGGGAGATTCGGTCCCGACGTGGTCAGGCTGGCGCGTCGCAACTGGTCCGACGAAGCGGCCGCCCGAACGGATGGTGCCGTGCCATGCCGGAGGCGGTCGACGTGCGGTCGACGTCGTCCGCTCCTCGCCCCCGTGGGAACAAAAGCCAGGTGCGGCACCGCCAGCAGGTAGAGGTCGGCCCGGCGGGGAGCCGCATCTCCCGGCGGGGCTCGCGCGGCTCGTACAAACCGCCCGCTCTCATTACCCACTCCACGGGTATGCGGGGCGAGCAGAGGGGGAGAAGTGGATCTGCAAGCCGACAGGCCTCAACCAGGGCCGCGGGATCTTCCTGCTGCGCTCGGCAGGCGACGTGGCGGCGCTGCGCGAGCGGCTGCTCCTCGACGCCGACGCGGGGCCCCGCACGCCGCGCGCCCACGTGCCGCAGGCCCGCATCGTGCAGAGGTGAGCGCTCGTTCGCTCACTACTCGTCACACGCTCGCCACTCGCCACACGCTCACCACTCACACCCATTGCGAGCTCACGCACCACAAAGACGTGAGAGTGGTCGGTCAAACGTGGAGCTCGGTCGACTTGGGCGTTGTCAGCATACCGACAAGCGGAAGATGATGTCTCAGAACTACTTTGGAAGTCATTCTTCATTCACACTTAAAGTGACAGCCTCAGCAGAGTCAACTCAATGTCTCTGACCTCTAACCCTAACCCGGCCACCTCAGCGTTGTTCGCGGTTTGAATCCGGCAGGTCTCCCTGCTTAATACCGCTGGGATTGCTTTGAGACGTAAAATACCGAGCCTGCTTCGCGGTGGTCATTAAAGGTCTCACGATGTAATTCGAAACGGTTCGAAGTTGCCAAATTCGAGTGATTACACCGCCAGTCACTCAATTGGGATCTCACACCACACACACATACACAGAGGATCATCGCCCTCGACTGTCGAACTACTGTAGACTGTGTCTGTGAAACACAGCAGCGCCTTGCTCCGTAAACTCCTCCTTTGGCAATCCCTCGCAGTCGCGGATGATGACCGTCTTCCACCAGGGTCCGAAGATGGGCGATGAGGCCCATCCGCGATCGACGGACTCGCGCCAGTGACAATGGCTGGAAAACCAAACGTACTAAACGATGCGAAATAAATTCAACGTATGCACATTGAATTTATTTTGCATCGTAAGTAGGCAACCGTGCATAGTCGTAGTGTGCGGGGGGGAAGGACAACAAACTAAAACACGAAAAAAAACAGCATTAAAAGCAGATGGATTATTAAAGATTGATGAGATTATTGTGTCGAACGTGCGTGGTGGCTGGGGGTCGGGGGTCGGGGGTCGGTTTTGCCGCCCGCAGGTACGTGACGAACCCGCTGCTACTGGACGGACGCAAGTTTGACGTGCGCTCCTACATGCTCATCGCCAGCGCGGCACCGCCCATCGTCCTGTTCCGCCACGGGTATGCGCGGCTCAGCTGCCAGAGCTACAGTCCCGAGTCCAACGACCTCACGGCACACCTCACCAACCAGGTGAGCTCACGCACGCACGCACGACGCGCGTACGCACGCGTGACCCTTCACAAGGCTGTTGGGGCGAGTGCTGTTAGCAAGCGCCAATGAAGGCCGGCGCGGCGCATCTATGCCGGGAGTGGGTGGCCACCTATCACAGGGTGGGTGGCCAGCAAATTATAATTTGTTTTTGCTCAGTTGGCTTGGCCCCTAATTTGTAAAGCGTGACCCCCGGCCCCTGGCAGTACATGCAGAAGAAGAGCCCCGTGTACCAGGAGGTGAAGGAGGAGACTGTGTGGACCATGAGCCGCTTCAACGACCATGTCAACGAGCACTGCGCCCCACACAAGGGGCTGCCCAAGGACTGGGTCCTCACCACCTTCACTGTGAGGGCCCGGTGACAATCGCCCTACCACTCACCCTGACACTCGAGCTAATGCTAAGCCTAACACTAGGCCTGACGCTCAGCTTGACATTAGCCCTAATACTAGGTCTGACGCTAAGCTTGATACTAGGCCTGATACTAAGCTTGACACTAGCCCTGGCCCTAGGCCTGACGCTAAGCTTGACACTAGGTCTGAATACTAGGCCTGATGCTAAGCTTAAGACTAGCCCTGACACTAGGCCTGACGCCAAGCTTAACACTAGCCCTGACACTAGGCCTAATGCTAAGCTTGACACTAGGCCTGAACACTAGGCCTGGTGTGGTTCATCTCACTCCAACCCCCCCCCCCCCTACCTGCCAAACCCCATGCCACAACAGAAGCGCATGCAGCAGGTGATGACCCACTGCTTCCTGGCCACCAAATCCAAGCTGGAGGGCAAACTCGGCCTCTTTGACCTCATCGGCTGCGACTTCCTCATCGACGAGGACTTCAAGGTACCGTGGCCAGGCGGGGTGGGGTTGGTGGATCGCATCTCGTCCTGCACACAAAGGCGGATCTATAAACTATCCGAGAGCAGGGAGGGATGGAGCGATGAGGGCAATTGCCCGCTCCTGGAATCCGCCACTTGTCTGCACAACGAGCTGATTTCATCACTCCATCTCCGTGGGTGTGTTCTCTCCTTTGGCTGCCGCTCCACCGTTAGTCTCATCATCCCTTCTAGCGGTGCATTCTGCCCCCGCTCCTCCGTACACAATATCACGTAGGAGCGTCACTGCCACGGGGTAGAGCCATCAGTGAACAGACACGGGGCTGCCTGCCCTGTACCATAGGGTCGAACGGCAAAACATTACTACTGATGAGAACAGGTGAAGTTTGAACCGGTCCCAGGCTATGTGGTTAGCCTTGACAGCACACTAACCGCACCTCCGATTGCCACGGTTGGCTACATAGAGTGAGGGAAAAAGTTTTTGATCACCTGCTGATTTTGTACGTTTGCCCACTGACAAAGAAATGATCAGTCTATAATTTTAATGGTAGGTTTATTTGAACAGTGAGAGACAGAATAACAATAAAAAATCCAGAAAAACGCATGTCAAAAATGTTATAAATTGATTTGCATTTTAATGAGGGGAATAAGTATTTGACCCCCTCTCAATCAGAAAGATTTCTGGCTCCCAGGTGTCTTTTATACAGGTAAAGAGCTGAGATTAGGAGCACACTCTTAAAGGGAGTGCTCCTAATCTCAGCTTGTTACCTGTATAAAAGACACCTGTCCACAGAAGCAATCAATCAACCAGATTCCAAACTCTCCACCATGGCCAAGACCAAAGAGCTCTCCAAGGATGTCAGGGACAAGATTGTAGACCTACACAAGGCTGGAATGGGCTGCACGACCATTGCCAAGCAGCTTGGTGAGAAGGTGACAACAGTTGGTGCGATTATTTGCAAATAGAAGAAACACAAAAGAACTGTCAATATCCCTCGGCCTGGGGCTCCATGCAAGATCTCACCTCGTGGAGTTGCAATGACCATGAGAACGGTGAGGAATCAGCCCAGAACTACACGGGAGGATCTTGTCAATGATCTCAAGGCAGCTGGGACCATAGTCACCAAGAAAACAATTGGTAACACACTACGCCGTGAAGGACTGAAATCCTGCAGCGCCCGCAAGGTCCCCCTGCTCAAGAAAGCACATATACATGCCCGTCTGAAGTTTGCCAATGAACATCTGAATGATTCAGAGGACAACTGGGTGAAAGTGTTGTGGTCAGATGAGACCAAAATGGAGCTCTTTAGCATCAACTCAACTTGCCGTGTTTGGAGGAGGACTGCTGCCTATGACCCCAAGAACACCATCCCCATCGTCAAACATGGAGGTGTAAACATTATGCTTTGGGGGTGTTTTTCTGCTAAGGGGACAGGACAACTTCACCGCATCAAAGGGACGATGGACGGGGCCATGTACCGTCAAATTTTGGGTGAGAACCTCCTTCCCTCAGCCAGGGCATTGAAAATGGGTCGTGGATGGGTATTCCAGCATGACAATGACCCAAAACACACGGCCAAGGCAACAAAGGAGTGGCTCAAGAAGAAGCACATTAAGGTCCTGGAGTGGCCTAGCCAGTCTCCAGACCTTAATCCCATAGAAAATCTGTGGAGGGAGCTGAAGGTTCGAGTTGCCAAACGTTAGCCTCGAAACCTTAATGACTTGGAGAAGATCTGCAAAGAGGAGTGGGACAAAATTCCTCTTGAGATGTGTGCAAACCTGGTAGCCAACTACAAGAAACGTCTGACCTCTGTGATTGCCAACAAGGGTTTTTCCACCAAGTACTAAATCATGTTTTGCAGAGGGGTCAAATACTTATTTCCCTCATTAAAATGCGAATCAATTTATAACATTTTTGACATGCGTTTTTCTGGATTTTTTTTGTTATTCTGTCTCTCATTGTTGAAATAAACCTACCATTAAAATTATAGACTGATCATTTCTTCGTCAGTGGCCAAACGTACAAAATAAGCAGGGGATCAAACACTTTTTTCCCTCACTGTACGGTGCGAAAGAAGTTAAACATATGTACCGCTGTCCATTGCAACATGGTGCTCTAACCCAGACCTCTGCTCGACTTTCATTCCTTCCACCTCGACACTGCTGCCCTGCGCTACCTCCCCACCCACTAATTTTTTCCCATCATACCCCCCCCCCACCCCACCGGCAGGTATGGCTGCTGGAGATGAACTGTAACCCCGCGCTGCAGACCAACTGCATGGTGCTCAAGGAGGTCATCCCGCAGGTGGTCAACGAGACCCTGGGTACGTGCACCTGCGAAGGAGGAAACGGCGCGTCGATGCGTTGCCGTTCGGCGTCGGTGTGCCAGCCAACTTACGCGAGTGTCAGCTAACTGCGCGCGATGAGAATCCGATGGCGTTTTCGTCGCCTGTCACACGTGATGCCCTCCGGGCGTGATCCTTGTTGCCGCTGGTGGCCAACGACGATCGCCGCGACGGGTAAAGAGGAATCGGTGCTTGAGTGGAATCGCGAGCCGGATTGGGTTCATGCATCGTTACAAACGCTGATTAATCATTCCACCCCGAATTGCCATGATGTGATTTTTTTTCATGATACGATATTGTGTACGTGTTCACGATATGGCGATTATCGCGATGTCAGATTCCCATGGCTTTGTGATTGCAAAACGAACGATACGGTTAATGTGGACTTTTAATTAATAATGGTTCACTATTTACTTTTGCGTAGCGTTTAATTCCACCGTTCTTGTAGCGCAGGCTATCACCCCGAATTAAGACGCTGCTGTGTTTCACAGATACAATCCGATAGTCGTTCCCAAAATTACCAATTTCTGTGTGATGTTTAAAATGTGGACATTGTCGACGTGCCCCTAGACCTGGCGTTGGAGACGTTTGAGAAGGTGCGCCGAGGCCAGCGCGTCATGCCGCTGCAGACTCGCCGAGACTTCACGCTGCTCTACAACGGGGATCCCAGCGACCCGCACTCGCGCCCGAGCTGGCCGTCGTCAAGGCCCTACCTAAACCTCGGCCTGCTGGTGCCTCGCCAAAAGCAGCAGCATCAGCAAAATCAGCAGCAGCAGCAGCAGCATCAACAGCAGCAGCAGCAGCAGCAGCGTCGTGCGACAAAATCGGCGGCACGAAACTTTGCGCTTCCCGAACCGCGCACGCCGAAGCCGAGAATTCGCTACAACATCTCCATCGCAAAGGTGGCGGCACCTCCGCTGCAGAAGCTGAGTCTGAGACCTCAGGGAGTGGAGGATGACGATGATGAAGACAGGGAGGATGACGAGGAAGACGAAGCGGAGGAGAAGGAGGGAGGGGGCGGCACCTTGGGAGCCATTACGCGACGCGTGGGGTGCTCGAAGTCGGCACGTCGGCCGCTCAAGAGCGCCGCTGCGCCGCGACCCACACCGCCCGGCCCCCGGCACCATCGCTGGGCTCTCACGCTGAGGTCCAGGGCGCCGGCGGCCTCGCTCTCGTCATTGAGCGCGCGCGGTGGCGTCCGGTCCGTGGCTGCCCTCGCCGCCACCATCTCCGTCCTGACGACGTCGCTCCCGCACGAGGCCTCCGCCACTTGGAAGACGGCGTTGAGCCTCCCCGTGCGGAAGGCGGAGGAGGAGGAGGCGGAGGAGGAGGAGGAGGAGCAGGAGGAGGTCGACTCGCAGAGGCTCCCTCCGCTTCCATCGCCCGACGACGCCTCGTCTGGCACCACCGCGAAGAAGCAGCTGTCAGAGCGAGGAGCTTGACCTCGAGAATTCGCGACGATCGGGGAAGTGCGAACGGTCACCGCGGTGGCTTCCGAGCCACCCCGGATCATCGCAGCCGCATGGCCTCTGCCTTGAGCCTTCCCGGGAAGCTGCAACTCGATTTAAAAAGAAAAAGCCTACGAATTTCTGCGTCCTGCAAATCTTTTTCTTTTATATATAAGCCATGATTATTATTACAGTAGCCATATCAAGATTGTAGGTGCATGTGTGTGTTGGTGTCTTTGTTAGGGCTGTTCATAGGTGTTCGCAAGCAGCACTTTGCCCTACAGTCTTTTAAGCCTATACGGGGAGTCTTTGTGTGTCGGGGTTAGGGTGTTCGCTAACAGCACTTGCCCCAATAGTCTGTTGAAAGCTATTCGAGGGAGCTTTGTGTTTAGGTGGAGGAGTGGCGGTGCAGTGGTTTGTGCACTGCGCTCCGAACCCGGCGACCCACTTTCGATTCCCGCTTACAGCCATCAGTGATGAATATCTGAACCAGTCTTGAGCCTCCCCTAGGTCGACTCAGCCTTAATGAGTACCTGGTGTGGAGTGTAAACAATAGCATTGGGGAGACAAATGTGACCGGGAATGGTGCTGGCCACCCACCCACCTTTTGTGTTGTGCAGGCCTTCATAGGTGCTCGCTAACAGCACATTCCCCAACAGTCTATTTAGGTTATAATGGGGATCTTTGTGAAGGTTTATTGATGTGTTGAGGTGGTGGTGCAGTGGTTTCCAATCTGCACTACAAACCCGGTGACCAGAGTTCGATTCGCGGCCATGGCTAACGTGGCGATTGATACCTTAACCAATCCTGGGCCTCACCTAGGGCGACTCAGCCTCAAATGAGTACCTGGTGCTTCATGTAAACAAAGGCGGGTGGGTATGGTGCTGTCTACACCACCGTCTCATGCACCGTGCCAGCCTTAATAGGTGCTCACTAACAGCACTTTCCCCAACAGTCTATGTTGGCTACACGTGGGAACGTGGTATGTTTGTTGGTGTGAGTGTGTGTGGATGTGTGGGTGTACATTCGCAGGTGCTCGCTAACAGCACTTGTTCCAACGGCTTAAGTTGGCTCTACGGGGGATCGTTTGTCTTTGTATATCCGCTAGAGTTGCAACTAATTATATTAACGGAGTAATTGACCAAAACGTGTGGTCCTGGTCGAAAGTCAATGGACTAATCGCCAATTGATAGAATTATAACAGCAATAGCGCTTAATTGATATGTAGCGCGCGCGCGCGTGTGTGTGTATTGTTAATTTATTTCAATGAGGCCTGTTAGAATGTGTAGGAGGCGGTGTTACAATGTCCAGGGTGCGACGCGCGGGCGTTTCCAGATGCGCGGGGATTGATCCAGCCCGAGTAGCAGGCAACTCACTCCGCCTCGCGTTTTTCCCAGCGTCGGATGCTAACGCGTGCAGGTGGATTCGCTGATAATGGGAACGCAAATGGTGGTGGTGGTGGTGCACCAGTGCTCGCTTACAGCACTTGCCCCAACAATCTGTTAAGGCTATACGGGGGGGTCTTCTTTGTCTTTGGTGGTGCACCAGCACTGGGTCTCTACGTTAGTCTCCGTGTCGCTATGGATCTGTGGGTCTTTGTGTGAGTCCATGGATTTCTGTTTTAGCTTCGGTCTCTCTGTGATTCTATGGGTTTCTATGAGTCTATGAGTCTCTGTGTGAGTCTATGGGTCTCTATGTGAGTCTATGAGTATCTATGAGTCTTTGTGTCCCTATGTGAGTCTTTCGGTTTCTGTGTGAGTCTATGGGTCTCTGTGCAAGTGTATTCGGTCTTTATGTGAGTCTATGGGTCTTTATCGAATCTATGGGTCTCTGTGCAAGTGTATCGGTCTCTATGTGAGTCTGTGGGTCTCGATGTGAGTCTATAGGTCTATATGTAAGTATGGGTCTCTGTGCAAGTGTATTCGGTCTTTATGTAAGTCTATGGGTCTTTATCGAATCTATGGGTCTCTGTGCAAGTGTATCGGTCTCTATGTGAGTCTGTGGGTCTCGATGTGAGTCTGTGGGTCTCGATGTGAGTCTGGGGGTCTCGATGTGAGTCTGTGGGTCTCGATGTGTCTGTGGGTCTCGATGTGAGTCTGTGGGTCTCGACGTGAGTCTGTGGGTCTCGATGTGAGTCTGTAGGTCTGTATGTAAGTATGGGTCTCTGTGCAAGTGTATTCGGTCTTTATGTGAGTCTATGGGTCTTTATCGAATCTATGGGTCTCTGTGCAAGTGTATCGGTCTCTATGTGAGTCTGTATGTCTCGATGTGAGTCTGTGGGTCTCGATGTGAGTCTGTGGGTCTCTACGTCAGAAAGAACTGACGATGCCACTGCCAGCGCGTTTCACTTCCTTCAGCGAGTCCACCCTGCACACGTCACGAACACCGAGACTTGAAAACCCCGTGGCTGGCACGGTGACTCTCCTCGTCCTGAAGCCACGGGTGGACCGCCGGCCCGGCTAGGCTCGTCTTTGCGTCCTTATGTTTCATCACAACGAGCCAGAGTTCCAAACACAGCAAACTCCGAGCGGTTTTGAGATGAGGGATTTTAGGATGCCGCAGGGGAGAGAGCTGCAGTAATCAAGTTGAGATGCAATGAAGGTCGGATAAGAAGCCAGATTAAACACGTTCCATGATGGAGTGAGGCTCCTAACAATTTACGCTCCCCAGCGAGTCAACGGATTGTCGCTATTCAGCACACGTGATTTCCCATGAAGGATTGATTGTTGCTTTTATATGTTTTACCGTCTCGTTTGTATTGTTTCTTGTGGGGGGGGGGGGGGGGTTTGTTCTGTCACGTTTATAAAGTTTGGTTTGCTCCGTTAGCCAAAATGTAACAGAATATAATGTTCACGAATCGTTCATGAACCGGAGTATGCCACTGCTGCTGTTGCCGTGGTGCGATGGTGACCACGCTGGACTTGCAATGAAAGAGGTCGCCGGTTCGATCTCCTGGCGTGGCAGTTGAAACAAATGGTGCAAGCTTCCTCACTACCCTCCCACCTGCTTCTGTCCGCCCGGCAGTTTAATAACTAAATAATTGGGTGCACCACGGCGAAGTCGTTCGGCAATCGTGGTGGGTTCAAAGTGTGGATACTCTCACCTATTCCGAGAAGTCTGACCTGTGTGGAAGAGTAGGCCAAATACCCTCTGAGGGGGGGGGGGTGGGGGGGACTATCTAGAGCTCCCTCTTAAGTGGTGGCTCCTTCTGCCAGCAGTGGCGTGAGCAAGCAATTGCAGAGCTGCGCCTTTAACTGGATCGATAGTGGATATTTACATAATTATTATAATTATTATTTTCATTGCATTTCATCCGTAGAACCCAATGCGTCCAAGAATGGAAAGCAGGAAAAAAAAACAACAGAACCATGGTTAGCGGCCAGAACTAGGGGGGGGGGGGGGTGGGTTAAAGGCCAGTTTAAAGAGGTGAGTTTTCAAAGACAGACTGAAATATATCCAACGATTCTGATTGTCTTCATAGCAAAGGCGAAGCGTTCCAAAGCGTGGGAGCTACACTGGCAAAAAGCCCAATCGCCCCCAGGGAAATGACCCTTGACCTCGGAGTACTTCGTTGGTTGCCCTGTGCTGTGAGCGAACAATTTTGGTCGTCATACCTCTTCGATTGGAAATTATGAAATCGTTTGTGTCACAACTCAGGTGAAAGTTCCTCTTGTAATCCAGATGTTAATGCTGTAATCCGCGTGCCCAAGTAATGAGCCGCATTCGTGTGTTGCAATCCAGGCGTGTGTGTGTATTATCACCCGGCTGAGATGCCTGTGTGATGCTATAAGCCAGGACCTGTGGCAGATCTCCAAGCCGGACTAAATTGTGGTGGGTGTGGGGAGGGGGGCGAGGATTTGTATTTGATTATTCCTAGCAACATTCAATTAGAGCTCGGGAACAAAACGTGCACGTCAACCTTTAATTTATTAGCGACGATCGGGGACAGCTCTCTTACATTTATTTTGAGATGAAAAAAGCTCATTTGGAATGTCCTACATGTGATTAGCGTTGAGCTACAAACGCGGACCGGTCGGATACTACCGAGCGTTTTAGTTTATTTAAATGCGAACATTGCTTTATTGCAACGTGGGGGCCAGCGTTGGGCATGTGGTGGGATCTGTTGGACAAACGGTGGCTCAACATCGGCTCAACATCGTCCCCAACTTTTGATGCTTACTGGGTTTTCCGGCTTCCCCCAAAATTTGGCTTACTCGAGTCTGGCTTGGAGAGGTTTTTGTTGTTGTTGCTTAACATGTAGGGTTTCGCGACCAATATTATCCACAATAGAGGTTTTTTTGGGGGGTGAGATCGCGTAAATATAAATGTGTCGTTGAACCCGCTAATTCTGGCTGTCGCCTGATCATGCTGGTTGTTGTAATTACCTGCGAAACGTCACGGTACTTTATTGTAAACGTTGAAGTGTGTTTACTCTCCAACACACCGGTGTGCTGAACTGATAACGAATTGGCACATTTTGTTTAACGTGACAAACCTTACGAATTCGCTGTGTCGGACGGTGGCGGGTTGAAGGACACATTTATATTTACGCGATCTAATCCCCCCAAACCCCCCCCCCCCTCTATTTTGGTGGTTCTTGTTGATGTACTTGCATTCTAATCCAGGTGCTCGCGCTATGGCAGCGGTGCTTCCCGTGTGACCCCTGGTGCTTCTGTAGCAGTGTTGCTATGCGGGACAATTTATCAATGTGTAATAAGCTCGTTTTGCGTTTGCGAGATTAAATTAAAACTAAGTCAATTTTTGATCGTCCCAAACTCGCGTGTGTTTAATGTCGCGCGCGCGTGCGAGAGTCTAAAACGGTGGCGAATATTTAAATTGGTCCTGGGCATCCACTAGGTCGACTCAGCCTTGACTGAGTACCTGGTGGCCAGAAAAGGCGCCACATGGGTCGACTGAAGACGGCCGTAAAAGAGTGCAGCCTGAGCCCTACCCAGCAGGACGCTCCGCCTGGCGCCAGCTCTGCCAGCGGGGAGTGTCGCAACTCGAAGGGGACCAAAGTGAGCTCCGGAGAAGCCGTCTTGAGAGAGGTGGAGCCAGAACCACACCTACACGTGCAAGTCAGCGACTTCACCTGCTCCGCCTGTAGCGGACGCTGTGGGTCGAGGATTTGACTCTACAGTCACGCAAAATCCCACAAATAGAGGCGGAGGAGGAAGGTCATCATCGGATACGATGGACAACCCCGAAGGAAGGAAGGAAGGTGTGTACACATGTGCACTGGGGAGACAAAGGCGGCCGGGGCGTGGTGCTGGCCACCAACCCCCTCGTGTGCCGTTCCGGCCTTCATGGGTGCTCGCTAACAGCAGTTTTCGTGCAAAATTATAAACATGTTTCCAACATTTAGATTATTTGGCTGCCGTAAAATTGCACATGATGAGCGACTTTGTTGCACTATAATTTGTGGCCAGGTCGCTCCTGAAATATAAGTGAATAACTCAGTGGGCTTTACCTGGTAAAATAAAGAATTGTTTAAAATGTTTTTGTGATTTGCTGGCCTGACCTATACCCTGCACTTCTGTCGTGGGGTTTTATGCAGTGTTTGTCGTAACGTTCTTACCCGCACCTCAATGGAACAATCTGTGTAAAAAAATATAGCGTTCATAGGTTTTCGGACTCCTTCAGTGTCAAAGCAATGTTTCTGATTCTGAACATCGGTATTTTAATCTGCCGCGCTTCGCGATGCGCGCGCGACTTTTGCGGTGCGGCACCGCGCACGGTTTTCAGTGCGTTTCATTGGCACGGAGAGTTGGGCATTTAAAACGGAGAGTTTGACACTTTAAGCGTGTTATTGGCACGGAGAGTTTGACACTTTAAACGGAGAGTTTGACACTTTAAGCGTGTTATTGGCACGGAGAGTTTGACATTTAAATGTTTTATTGCACGGAGAGTTTTACAGTTAAACGGAGAGTTTGACACTTAAACGTTTCATTGGCACAGAGACTTTAACATTTTAAACAGAGACTTTGACATTTTACACGTTTCATTGAAACGGAGACTTTGACATTTTAAACAGAGACTTTGACATTTTACACGTTTCATTGACACGGAGACTTTGACATTTTAAACAGAGACTTTTGCATTTTACACGTTTCATTGACACGGAGACTTTGACACTTAAACATTTCATTGACACAGAGACTTGGAAATTTTACACGTAGACTCTGACACTTAACTATGCATTGCCACAGATACTTTGACACTTAAACATTTAATTGACACAGAGACTTTGACACTTACACATTTAATTGACACAGAGACTTTAACACTTAATAATTTCATTGACACAGAGACTTTGACACTTAAACATTTCATTGACACAGAGACTTTGACACTTAAACATTTAATTGACACAGAGGCTTTGACACTTAAACATTTCATTGACACAGAGACTTTAACACATTTAATTGACACAGAGGCTTTGACACTTAAACATTTCATTGACACAGAGACTTTAACACTTAATCATTTCATTGACACAGAGACTTTGACACTTAAACATTTCATTGACACAGAGACTTTGACACTTAAACACTTCACTGACACAGAATCAGTGACATTTTAAACACTTCACTGATACAGAGACTTTGACACTTAAACACTTCACTGACATAGAGAGACTTTGACATTTTAAACACTTCACTGACACAGAAACCTTGACATTTTAAACACTTCACTGACACAGAGACTTTGACATTTTAAACACTTCACTGACACAGAGATTTTGACATTTTAAACACTCCACTGATACAGATACTTTGACATTTTAAACACTTCACTGACACAAGAGACTTTGACATTTTAAACACTTCACTGACACAGAGACTTTGACATTTTAAACACTTCACTGACACAGAGATTTTGACATTTTAAACACTTCACTGACATAGAGAGACTTTGACATTTTAAACACTTCACTAACACAGAGACTTTAACATTTTAAACACTTCACTGACACAGAGACTTTGACATTTTAAACACTTCACTGACACAGAGATTTTGACATTTTAAACACTTCACTGACATAGAGAGACTTTGACATTTTAAACACTTCTCTAACACAGAGACTTTCACATTTTAAACACTTCACTGACACAGAGACTTTGACATTTTAAACACTTCACTGACACAGAGACTTTGACATTTTAAACACTTCACTGACACAGAGACTTTGACATTTTAAAACTTCACTGACACAGACACTTTGACATTTTAAACACTTCACTGACACAAGACACTTTGACATTTTAAACACTTCACTGACACAGAGACTTTGATATTTTAACACTGCACTGACAGAGACTTTGACATTTTAAACACTTCACTGACACAGAGACTTTGACATTAAACAATTCACTGACCCAGAGACTTTGATATTTTAAACACTTCACTGACACCGAGACTTTGACATTTTAAACACTTCACTGACCCAGAGACTTTGATATTTTAAACACTTCACTGACACAGAGACTTTGATATTTTAAACACTTCACTGACACATAGACTTTTACATTTTAAACACTTCACTGACACAGAGACTTTGACATTTTAAACACTTCACTGACACAGAGACTTTTACATTTTAAACACTTCACTGACACAGAGACTTTTACATTTTAAACACTTCACTGACACAGAGACTTTGACATTTTAAACAATTCACTGACCCAGAGACTTTGATATTTTAAACACTTCACTGACACAGAGACTTTGACATTCTAAACACTTCACTGTCCTCCAGACAGTCTCGTCCCTTCACCTGATGAAGGCCACTTGTGTTGTGGCCGAAACGTCGTGAGAATTTTATTGTGTTATTTTATTTTATCAATTTATTATTTTATTCTCATTCTACGTGACTTTACCGAAAGAACCAAAGAAGATGAATCCTTGCAGTCACGAAAGCTTTAAATCGACATTTGACACAAGAGACTTTGACATTCTGCACGCGCACCGATTCGGGTGCAACTCGGATCGATCCATCGATTACACGCATCAGCAATGGCGGCGAAGCGAGCGCTCGTGATCCTGGCGAAGGGAGCTGAGGAGATGGAGACCGTCATCCCGACAGACGTGCTGCGGCGAGCCGGGGTAAACCCCCCCCCCCTTCTCACCGTTGTTTTGTTGCATTGTTGCGCTGTTAGCATATTACAAAGCGCGGCGGGCAACGACGCTAATGTACCCGCTTGCGAATTGCCCACCTACGGCCTATGGCGAGGCCTCGGTGTCGCCTAGAAACTCCGCGGGGGTGAGTCGCGGTGGTGGGGGGGGGACGCCGGCGGGCGAGTGTTCGCCCCACGTGTAGATCGGCGCACGACCTTTAAAAAAAACAATTTTTGTTCACGTTTTATACGTTTTCTATTTTTTTAAACTTGCATTGACGAAACGTTGCAATGCAGCGCGACGCTTAAGCGGCGTGCGTTTTAAGAGAGGCTGCCGTTTGAACGCATTTCGTCCAGGATTGGGGAGTCCTTCATCGTCCAGCAGTGGATCGATCACGGCCGATGGGGTTATCCAGAAACTCCGCAGGAACTGTCCACTGCACGGTGGACGGGAAGCCTCAATAACCTCATCTTAAAATGCGTTTATTATTACTGCACGGTGGCGAGACGTTAACTACCTCGCCCCCGGTCTAAGGAGGCCATAGGTTCGATGTCCTGACGCCTGCTGCTGCTGTATATTTGGAGTTTTGCGTGTCTCTCTCACCCCGTGTTAGCGTGGATTTTTCTCCAGGCCCTCCGGTTTCCCCCCCCCCTCCACATTTATCACCAACATCACGCGTTTTTAAGAGTGTTTGGCTGCTATACATTTCCACGTGATGATAAGCCAATTCGTTGAGCTATCATTTGTGGCCAGGTCGCTTCTGAAAAAGAGCTGTACACTGTTTCCCAATGGGGCATTGCCTGGTAAAATATAAAACAGGATTTTAGTTTAGGATAGTTGGTAAAGGGGTTCAAGGACTTCTCGCCCACACTGCGCAGCCAACCCCGCGCTATATTTGTAGAGCGATGCAAGTACTATTTTTATATACACGTACAAGAAAAAACCCAACCCCGAGACGATATGCCTGCGACATTGAGCCGGTCCAATGCCCAAAACATTTTGAAATCTTTTCTGGGATCTTTCGTCGGAAGTTGGGAAATGCGTGAGGGTGGCCAGTAGGTGGCGTGAGATAGCCGAGTGGAGACGTGAGAGGCGAGGGAGGAGGGAGATGCGAGAGAGGTGGCTGGGCAATCGTCTCAAAATCGGGATCAGATATATTTCTTTATCCTGGATAAATCCGATGAGCTATGAAGCTCTTTTTCGCAGATGTCCAGTTGGAACAGGTCAGAACGTTACAACAACAGACAGTGCAAAAACACGATAAGAGTGCAAAGTATAGGAGAGGTAAACAAATCGCAATCCTTATTTAAACTGGATGAATCCGATGAGCTATGAAGCTCTTTTTCACAGATGTCCAGTATGGGTGGGTCAAATAAAACTAAACTTACGAGGTAAGGCCCACTGAGCTTTTGGCTTATTTTTCATAAGCGACCTGGCCACAAATGATAGCTCAAAGAATTGGCGTAATCAAGTGGAAATTTATAGCAGCAAAACCATTTCAATAATGTAAATGCATGTGTCTAAATGTGGAGGGAAAAACCGGAGGACCCGGAAGAAAAAATCCACGCGACCGCGGGAAGAGCAATTAAATATCCATTTGACATGTGGCGAACCTCACTCGCACATGCAGAGCGGGTGGAAAAGTCCTGCCCGCTCTCTACTTTGCGGACCAGAATGCACCTGCAGGGATCTCGGAGGTAGCTCTGTGATGTCCGCTTCCGCGGCGCTGTTCTCTGACATGAAGGGTTGCCCTGCTTTGCGAGAGGTCCGCATCGAGACTTTGTCTCATGCAGTCTGCATAAAATTGGGGGAAAAGTGACAATTTTTAAAAAGCTCAAAATTTCTCCTGAAATGCATTGCTTCCTGAAAAAAATCCGCTTGCTACGCTCTTCCTTGCTCAATGCATCCGCCTCTTACAAGACCTCGCTCACACCCCGCTGACTAAAATTAGGATCCATCGCCACCACTGGCGCCGCCCGCAAAGTTGGAATTCCTTCTCCAAGCAGCACGCTGTCATGTGGTTGGTGGAGCCAGCTCAGCGCTGACGTGTGTTATTCTGAGCGCTAGCGGAATGCCACTGCCCTCACGTGCCCTTCTCTGCTCTTCTCTGCTCTTCTCTGCTCTTCTCCCCCCTTGACACTCCCTCCCCTCGCTACTGTTAATTATGTACACCAATTTGATGAGGAAAATATTTGTTAACTAAGCGTTCTGCATTTTTTTCAACGTTGAATTTGAGTGAATAAAAATCATCGAGTGCGACGATGACTACGACTGCCCACCATAAACCAAAGTAAGACTGTGACAAGATGAGATTAACGTGCCGGCAATTGAAATGCAGTCTTAAGATAAATAAGTAACGGGCTATTGGAGACTGCAGGAAACCAAACGTGGTAATTGGCTACATATGCATATAACATGCTTCACTGATCTCACTCATTGGTTGACCTGGTAACATTGTGTGTTGAACTTATTTTGCATCCATACATAGCCAATCATGCTAATCGAAGGTGTGGGGAAGATATTCCTTGGCAATTAATGCAAACATTTAATAATCAAGGTTGTTTAACAAACTTTTTTTTATCCCTTTAAAATGAAACACGCAGACTTTATGACGTGAGTGAAATTCCACAGGATGTCGTCAACGAGACTTAAGACTACAACTGAAATGAAAAATGATCAGATTACAGTAGACCATCGATTATATTATCCGGGGTGGAAAGGGGCGCCAGATTTTCAAAATCGGCGGATAATCACATCATTATTTAAAATAGAAATGTTTTTAGATGTGTATACGTTTTTTCGTGTTTTAAATTTGTTTGCTGTGTGAAATTGATATAAATAAAGATACAAATAGACGAAAACGTATCCTACTGTAAAAAGTTACTGTATTTACTGTACCGTAGTTACCACTGCAATATCAAAGACTCTACATGGGGTGATGTACGTACTACGCTCTCGTTTCAACAACATGTGTTCTGGCGATCGCCGCACTGGTACAGCCTTGGGAGCGTCTTGGCCGGTTTCGCCAGATCGACCCGGGACCGGCGGATAATGTTGGAAACCGGATAATTACTCGCCGGATAATCGATGATGGACCGTAACACTTTCCTCTCTCCCCCCCCTCCCCCCCCCTTTATGTCAGATTAAGGTAACGCTGGCCGGGCTGGCGGGGCCCGAGCCGGTGCAGTGCAGCCGTGACGTCGTCATCTGTCCGGACACCAGCCTGGAGAAGGCAATGGCCGAGGTGCTTTCTCTCTGTTCCCACGATGTTCTTCACTTGACTTCCACCGTCACCCGTGGCCTTCCGTTGGGAGGGCCACGCAAGCCCGGGCCGTGTTGGCCGGGGGCGCTAGCTGTTGAGCTGGAACGATGAGTCGATTTACGTTGCTTTATCAATACAAAGGTTGCGGTCCGTTAATTGGGCCCCTTCACAAATGATGGCCGCCCCCACATCCTGCCCTGCTGAAGGTGGGAAACCCCCTCATGAGTTCCGCCCAGCGTGACGCGGCTGATGATGCCGGTGATGTCACCTAGCCCCGTCCGTCACCTCCCATCCAGCAGCACACGTGGGAACAGAGGTGAAACGTTTATTTTCGACTGTTTCATTTTATCCAATTGCATTGAGTAATCATTGGAGCATATTCGATTACTTAAAGAATCGGATTGCCCAGGGGTCGGCAACCTGCAGCTTCGGAACCACACGCAGCTCTCCAAGGACCGCTTCGTAACATATGTTGAACTTCTTTCGCACCGTACGTAGCCAAACGTGTTCATTGGCGGTGCAGGGGAATTTGTTTATTAAGGACCGTCTCATTCACATGCATTGGCGGCTCTTGAACTATTACCAAATACAAAAAAAATCGCTCTTCTTATTTTGGTTGCTGACTCCTGGGCTAGCCTAATCTGGCCAGATTCGTTGCGATTCCTCCAATTGGAACTGCCCCTGCCTAGCTCTCCCTTCTCCATTGTACTCGACTGTACATATATTTTCATACGTGCTCAATGGAAGGTAGCGCCTACTACTCTACTGTCCCTGCAGTCTGGAACACCCTCAAAATCACGCGGCAAATACTCTTTGTTGGGCATGTTTAATGCGTGCCCCCTAGTGTGGATAAAGAGATTCATTGGAAGTGCCTTCAGAAGTAGTTCTGGATAAAGAGATTAATTGGAAGTGCCTTCAGAAGTAGTTCTGTGAAGCCGTCTTCCATGGCCGTGGTTTTTTTTTTACACAGGGTGGTGTACTTTTATTTTTATGAAAGTCAAAAATGCGAATGTCTTCATCTCATCATGCTGATGGAACCACAGGAATATAATGTGGCTGGCCCAAAGTTTTGGAACCGCCTAGTTTCGTCTCTTGGCATCTCTGTCTTCATTTAAACCGACTCCATTAAAACCACAAAAAATTGTATGTGTGAATGTCATTTCACAACATAATTAGGTTTTTTAATGCTTTGAATGCCTCTACGGCCAAGTCGCCCTTGAAAAAGAGCTTCTCAGCTCAAACGGGCTTCACTCGGGAAATAAACTTCTGTTTATGATCATTGGTGTGAGTGCGTCTCGCCCGAATGAGATGTTGTTGCACAGACGTCCCGATCGGCTGTCGTCACCCGCCCGTTGTTTCTGTGTCGCTGTGCTGCCGCAGGGTCCCTATGACGTCGTGGTGCTGCCAGGGGGAAACCTGGGAGCTCAGAATCTCGCGGAGGTGAGAGGGAGCGACGGGAGTCAAAACAACCGCTTCCATGCGCATAATTTTCGCTTTTTGTCTCTCCCGTTGCAAAACCTTTGCACACCGCACTAGATATGTAAC